AACTCCCGACGGAATGGTACCGTAACGGGATCGTAGCATTTTCCTATTATTTAATACGTGGTTTTAGTTTTCTTTTATAAGACCAAGGGCATCAATGTATTATGAGTTCGGCCCCGATCGACCTCACTAGCAATGTTATTCATCTTTTCCACACAATTAAGCGTAGATTATTTACACATAACTGATCTACATGTGTATCTACGGCTAAAAAAAATAACGAAATCATCATGTAACGGGATTGTATCATTCTCCTATTTTTTACAAATTTAATCTATAATCAATTTAGTAGTCATCTAACGCGAAAAATGGCATAAACTATAAATAAATTTTCTGTATAATTGGTGGAATACTCTATCATGAATTGGCTTAAAACATATAGAGAATTGAATATGTAGAAGCGCAGCCCCATGCATTATTATATAATTTTCTGAATATATGTATATATATATATATATATATATATATCACAAATATATAGATGAATAATTGTGTCTTTATCTCAAAACTATAGTGTCAAATATTATATAATTGGTTTTTTTTTTTTTTCAAAAAAATATAAAACCGCCAATTTTTCGTGGCAGAGCATGATCACATTTCACCAATATTCCTTGGTAGAACTATAAACGAGTTAAAGTCGAACTCTAATACCCGAGTCGAACAGATAAAATAACGGATCGAATTATGTTACAAAGTTCAAAAAGTTATGTAAAAATAATGTTTATCAAACCTAATAACAAGGCTTTACGATTCGAGTCGAGCTGAGCTCACGATTAACTCATATCATCTAACAACTCACATATGCACGAGTATGCATGAGACTGTTCATCATCGGATGACTAAAAACTCTCGTGGGGTCGAATGACCGAACCATCTTTTTCAAAAAACAACAAATTTTCAATGTGCTTGATGGAATCTACACCCACACATACTCAATCTTCCCTTGTTTCGTACGAATGCTTGAAATCGAACAAGAAATGAATAAACCACACTCCAAAACGGCAAAATCCCACTAACCATCACATATTAACAACAAAAAGTCATCGTTTTACCAAATCATGAAAACATTAAGTCATGTTCTAAGCTCAAAACCAACCTCTTGCATCATTTGGATTACTGAGCAAACTAAGCGACAAAAAAGTATCTAAATGAAGGTGCCGATCAATATTCATGTCTGGTGCTAAATTAAGAATAAACTTATAGATAAGTTGTTTCTCCTACATTATATAGAAGTATAGGATGCGAACTTTTGAACAAAGTCCATTTTGCATAAGTTTATTTAAGAAAGACTTTTCTAAACGTGCTCCCAAACAAGCACGGTATCTTTTATCACACTGATTTATTCGTTTAGTTTTGCTCCACCTCCAAGAATTTGTAATCGCCAAGTATTTTTGAGTCAGATGCGAATCTTTGTAAGTAACTTGAGAAGTGTTCACTAACAAAAATGTTGCAGCAAAAAGTAAGCAACAAAAGGCCAAACTTGGAATTGACATCAGCTAATATTACCTCCAACAAGTTTAAAATATATACCGACACGCTCGAAGAAAACACATAAATGATGACGAAGAGTCAACCAACCAGAAGCAAGTTTTTAATTTAAAGGCAAAAAAAAAAAATCTAACCGGATGCAAGTATCCAGAACATCACATGAGAAGACATGGCAATGAGGAACCACGTGACGAATGCAAGAGCTATTGAGAGCTCAAATCTTCGGCACGGGATATGGTTCGCTCCCGTACAAAATTTCAAGTCTTTGGCGTACAAAATTGCAATCCCTGCCGAAGAGCATGCAGCAGCAAGTGATAGTGTGGCTGTAACCTGCGTTTTTTTTCCATCACTATTGAGTCAAATGAGGCTCGAAACCAAAAGATAAACGCAACTTTCGGAAAATTTAACCAGGCAAATAATGCAATATATAAGCCAACCATACAAATTTATGCTGTGTTTGGTAAAAATAGTTGATAGCTTATAAATGATTTTCGAGCTTATAGCTTATAACTATGACTTATAGCAGAAAGCTAGCTTATATAAAAAATGTTTGGTAAAATTAGTTGATAAGCTAGCTGAAATAAAAATTTCAACGAGTTTATTTGAAAAACTACCTAAAGAAGCTTATGAGATAAGCTCGAACTTTTAAAAAAAGTCCGTCTTACAAAACGAAGCTTATTTAAATACAAGAAGCTCATAAGCTAACCAAATAAGCTATAAGCTCGTTTATTTGGTTACCAAACATAACCTTAATAGCCCACTAAAATGAAATTGAAGGAAAAATACTATGTTGGAAAATTTTGTGTACATCAAGCTACAGTTTGGGAAAAGAAGATTAGCTATTGATAATGAAAGGAATATAAATTACCCAATCACCAACCACGAACAAGCTGACTAGGACTGAACTGTGGAGATCTCTTTTTATCCGCAAAGCATAGATGTCAAGGCACGCGAGTCCACAGCTCCATAGCAATTGAAGGCCCATTGATGCAATGAGATAGCTGAATACAAAAAGGTATAGTTACACTGTAAATTTTCAGTTGATGGGTAAAGTTCAAAGGTATACAAGGAAATGCACATTTCTCAACAGTCCAAAAGAAAAGTAAATAAAAAACATCTGCATTCCAACTATAGTGCATGAGAAAAACAAGTGATAAAGGGTGTGTTTTGTGAGCAAAGTAGCTGAGATCACTCTGCAAATCTATAATAAAAATTAATCAAATTCGAAGGATTCATCGAGTTATGTTATACATTAGCATAATTTGCATAAAGATTCATTTGTGTAAGCTAGCACCTTTGGTGAAGGGGTGTTGTAAAGAGCTTCGAATGAACAAATTCGAGCAAGCCTAACAGATTTTCCTTACCATAAAAACACTTGCAGAGCATCTTACTCGACCCAACAAATTTTCGCAAACAAGTTCCATTTGTAGACTAACAAGATACCAGAAAAACATCAAATTCATGCTACTGAACTCCCCCAAATACACGAATAATCCACCAATTTCGACAATCAAAACAAACATTCACCCTTTCAAATCAACAAGAAACCCACGAGGTGATAAATCCACTACATCATGATAAACCATTTTTAGGAAGAAGCAAATAATAGAAAACCATAAAAGGAAGAAAGAAACATTCACATAAACATGATAAGACCTCAAATTACTTCAACCATTGCATATTTCCCTTTTCGTAATTTATGTAATTTACGACAAGAATCATAGTGTAAAACCTCGCAAGCCATTGTACAGACTATAAAAGTGCACCAACAAGAACTACTTGTCCCTTCGGGGACATCCGATAAGATTGGAACCAGGGGCGTAGCCAGGAAAAAAAACTACACTGGGCTGAGTTCACAAAAAATATAACTTACATAATTCAATTTTTTTTCCGACGGCTGGTATCCCTACGTTCATCCGTGGCTTACATAATTAAAGAGTAAAAGGAAAAAAATATTATAAATTAAATTTTCATTGAGATATAATTGTTTCATGTTTATTACAAATATTTAATGTTTTATAAAAATGTGTCTAGACACCTTTTATGCGTATTTGGGTGTCACGATGTTTTCCTAGACGACTATTATATGCACTTAAAAGATTAAATATCATCTAGATGGATTAGGCGGCGCCTAATAGACTAAGCAGTTGCGACGTTAGTCACATTCAGATTGACTGCACTGTCTAGTCGCCTATAATTTCTTTTCAAAAATTTTGAATTTAATTTTTAAAATAATAAAAATAATCCGAGTTCTTTTGTATCAATTATATATTAATTATACAATAAACATAATAACCATCCTATTAATATTAACACAATAGGTTTGGTATACATTAGATTTTCATAATATTTTTACTTGAACATATTAATTAATACTTATAATTTTGTCTAATATCTTAGAAGGTATGCATAATGACAAAAGCCAAAAAGAATAAATAAAGCGCATCATTTTCATTATTACTCTCTTCTCATCTTTCCATATTATAACTGATTGTACGAACTAAACCGAATGCTAAAAGGATGCTTGGATATATCCTCAATATTATCAATATTGTTAAAATCAATACAATTAAATAATACTACTCCATCATTGTCAACATTATATCAACTTTAATTTACTGTTCGTTCACTCACATAATTTTAACTTACTATAATGTCACATCATTATTTTCCTACATTTTTATCCAATTAACTTTCATTATTTTAATTAATTTCACTGACAGCTAACCATACCACTTTTTTCAAAATTAACCATATCAAACCAAAAAAAATTTAAACAAAATCAAAAATAAATTATATCCAAGCAAATATGCTTAAATATTCATTAAACAAACTTTTGATAACCCTTAAGTATTGGTGCAAATAAATTAAATAAAACAAGTGTAAGTCATAAATTATAAGTAATATTTCTTTAAGTCAATTAAAATAAATATGTATATAAAGAAATATATGTAAAAAATAATATTATATTTGATGAACAAAAAGGACATCTGTTAAAGAGATGTGAGGAGTTTGTACCCAAAAAAAAAAGAGATGTGAGGAGTGGAATAAAAAATCTGTCAAAAGAGTTGTACCAAAAATACACCTGCTATTAAAGAAATATATAAGTAATGAAGCTTTCTTTTGTCTTTTCGGGCCTCTACTGCAGACAAAAAACAG